GTAATGCCACGAAGTTTAAAGTGCGGCCCGTCATTCGCCGGTTCGCGAGGTGAGGTGAGAGAGACGGGAGAGTTGCAACGGGCGCGGTAACGCAAGCATTTTGCATGTCACTTTAAGGTGTCATTAGGCTGCCCTACCCACAGCACGCGCAGCAGCTTGGTTAAAAGGACCAGGCAGCTGGAGTCTCGGTGCTCACTATCCGCACTGACGCCAAGGTAGGTAGATTGGTAGGTAGGTAATGACTGGCGATTGGCGACTGACGACGGGTGACTGGGGTGGTGAGTGACTGTGACAGGAGGGCCTCACACTAGGTAGGTGAGCTGCGGGGTACGTACCTTCACCGGTCCTGCGCTCCTCCCCTGGTGTCCACCACGGCCGATGTGGCTCAATCGATCGATAGGGCTCCACCCAAAGCATGGGCGCTCTCCGGTCTGGGTGGCTTCCCGGCGAGTCTTAATTAAACGGTTGGCTGTCAGTCTTCCAACTACCAACAAGTCTTGTTGGTTGTCCGTCACAGACATTACTCTGGCATTGTCGCGGCTTGTCACCTTGCCTGCCTGCCTACCTACCTACCTACCTATTCCATTTCCATTTCCACCCTCGCTGTTGCTCTTGTCACAACCCACATCATCCCATCCCCTTCTCGCTCAATGCCCTCTCACAGCCTTTCGACCCTTCTCCTCTCTGTATCCGAACTCCCCTTGCCCGCCTGTCTTTCTCGCCCCTTCCCTTCGCCGGACCCCTGGCGCAGATGATGCTGGGCCACCGGCCAAGGGCTCGTCCACGGCCAGGGCTTTACGTTCAGTATCCTGGTCTAGTCTCCAGGCAAGGCCCTCTTTCATTCCCAAGTTGTTGGACTGGCCACTCATGGCACGGGAACCCTACGGATGAATGTGCATCGGCTGCGTTGGTGCAAGCATTTATCGTACCACCAAGCTGTTCTTACTCACCCAAGTCGGCTAGAACCACCACCAACAACACGCCCGGCCAAACAAGAGCCAGGGTCGTCGACTTGCTAAACCAACCAGACGAGGAAGAACACGAGCACCGCGCCGACAGACACAGACACAGATACAGGCAGATGAGGAGGAAAAGAGACACGGACGCATACTCGACCTTGATCGCAATGTTGCTTCAGAGTTTTCATCCCACTGCAACCTCCTCTCAGATGTCAGCCGTCCTAATAGCAGACAGACTTGAATTCTGTACAAACCTCCGCACCCTCATCAGTCCTTTTTCATGTCCTCCTCTTCTTCGTCGCACACCCCTCGCTCCAACTCTCCTCCTCCACCTCTCGCAGCGGCCCCCAATGCCACCCATCCCGGGCTGGTTGAATCCTTCGCGGGACGGTCCAACCACCACCACCAACATGTTCCAACACGCTGCTCCAACAAAATCAAATGTCCCCTTGCCCTGCTGGATGCTGGACCCTCTCAGAAAGCAGCATCTTACTCCAGTCTCCACCAATTTCGTCCAGCTGCCCACCCTGCCCCCATGTTCTCCATCACCTTGCACGTAATACAGGGCTACCGTGCATTGCCTGTTGCTATCGACGTTCTGGCTCTGTCTTTCTCCATCTTGGCCTTGCTCTCACTTGCTCTATCTCGCTCCCACACTGCTTCTGCTTCTCTGACTCTATGGCACGTACGCAAGTCTCTTTTTATGATGCCGGAAATACCTTCTGTGCTGTCAGTCTCCGCCCCCGGCTGTCTTCAATTACCCCCCTTACCGTATATCTCACCCGTGCTAAACTTATACACATACATACACCCTAAATTGCCCATACTACCTTGCTCTGCGACTGAACCGCTTTGCTCTCATGTATCACCAGGCAGAAAGAGATGGGCGTCCCGTCCCAAGGTCTGTATAAAAATTGGCCCAGTCTGCCCCATGCAATGTATGAAGCGCTCGCGGTCTGCCCTGCTTCCTTGTATCTCTGTCCATCTCTCCCTCCTGTGTGTTGATCAACCCTGCAAGTGACGATCAAAGTCATCGCGTGTGGTCCCGGTCAACTTGCCCACCCCCATTGGGTCCCCTACAGAACGAGGCAAACTGGGTCTTTCTTCCCGTCTTCCGGATACCGTACCTGGCTTACCTTACTTCCTTCCCTTGTCTTGGCCCCAACACACGCGCCCGCGCCCTCTCTTTTTCTCTCTTGCGTTCCCTTCCCAGCACACTGCCTGACTACTTGCTTGCCTACCTTCCGTTGCTCGTCGGATGTAAGGTAAAGTAAGGTACAGTCCAGTTGCCCCTGTCCTTTGTCGTCCTGCTGCCTTGTCTTGCTCCTCTCCCCAATTCGAGCTCGTTCTTTATAAGTGCCTCCTTCCCCATCTTACCTCCTGCTTTTCAGCCTTCCTGGGCAAGGTTGCCAATCAGATACGCACCCCGATCCGTCCTATCCACACACTCCTCCCACTCACGCGCATCCTTCCAACAAGTCCCAACTCAGCACCCTCCACCCCCCTTCAGGGCCTGATTGCGTCTTGTTCCAACAGCCCTGTTGGTATATAAGTTCATCTTTTGCGTCCAACAAAGCGTCCGGGGGGAGGTAAGGGAAACACAAGAACGCCAACAAAAAAAGGGTGCCGCCCACGCCAGTCATGGACCTCACACCACCCTCATTAACAAGGTCTCCGGCGTCTTCAACTCACACCTACTGCCCGTCGGAATCCTCCCTGGACTATCCATCCCCAGATATCGCAACTCAGCAGTACAAACTTGCTTCTTTGTACGCTGCTGGCCAACTCTGCTCTCTCGGACATACACCCGACGCCGATTCCTCTTTACCGCCTTTAGATCCCGCGACGACAGCTGACTGGACCTCGGCCAACATTATGGCACCGGCTTCTTCTTCACTGTCCATTCCAAACGTTCTGTCCTCAGAATACGATCCCTTTTCTGAGTATGACCCAGCCCCGTATGGATCTGAGACGTACCCGCCGCCACCCTCACAACCGTCATCGGTTGTCAACCAACCGCATACTCTCGCAGATGTAACCGGACGCTCGCCAGCACCGTCTTCTTCAAGAAGCTCGTTCTCTTACCCGCACGGCGGCGGCCACCCCACAGGTCCCAGGATCAAGATGGAAAACACCAACGACTACGGATCCGGAATCGATGTTTCCCATTACCCGTCACCACGCTCGATGCAAGTCCCGTACATGACGGAGCCCAGCCAGTATGCAAGCCCACATCAGGCCTATCTGTCAGACACTAGCTCTCCTGCATGGTCCAAGACAGAGCTGGATGCCGAACATTACTACCAACATCAAACTCCATTGGGGGATTCGAGTACATCTGGCAGTCATCATGGCTCAAAGCGCGCGGAGATCAAACCGAATCGGCCAAAGAGGTCGGCGCGGCGGATGACGACCGTAGCGGACGCCAACTACCAATGTGAGGTCAAGGGCTGCGGAAAACTGTTTAGTCGTAGTTACAACTACAAAGCCCACCTGGAGACGCATGACGAGAAGAGAGAGTACCCATTTCCCTGTCCAGTTGCCGACTGCAACAAGAAGTTCGTCCGGAAGACGGACCTTCAGAGGCACAACCAGAGCGTTCACATGAAGGAGCGAAACCACAAGTGTGACTACTGTGGTCGTCTGTTTGCTCGCAAAGACACCCTTCGGAGGTAAGTTGAAGTGCAAGAATCATGTTCCAGGGGACCGTATACTGAGCTTCATACCAGGCACATGGAAGACGGTTGTTCCAAGCGATTCGACGTTGGCACTTGTGACCTTCGTATCGATGGCTATGAAGGGATGAGCGTCAACCGTAACATGGGAGGGTCTATGCATCCGATGGGTCTAGGCCAAGGTACTCTACCGCCGATAACGATGCCCATGGGCAACAACGGTGGTTTGCTACATCCGGTGGCCTCCTCGAGCAGGGGTAGGAGTGTCATGTCGGGCACGAGCGACGCCGTCCACAGCGACCACTGGCCACGATGATGTATGGCAGGGTGTAGGCCAGTTACGGGAAGTACGACGAACGAACACACATGCGTGCGCAAGCTATATAACACGTGGCATGGTATATATTAAGAACATGTCTGTATCATTATATGGGAGGTTGGGATGGATTTAGGACCATCTTCTAGGGTAGATACCTGCAGGCAACGGCGTTTTGGTAGTGGGCTGGCGATAATGAAGGACTGCAGAGGTAAATGACGTAATGCACACAGCAGCAAGTATCCAAAACGGCGCCCTGCGCAGGACATCGTCTCGTGCGCTCCGATACTGAGATTCTGTACGCGCGTACGAGACTTTCCGAGAATGACCCAGCTTCATCGGTGCCGCAACAGTGAAGGCACGACATATCCCTGGCCTCAGAATCCTGAAGTGCTAGAGAAGTTCCTGGTACCGGCTAAACGATGACAGTAACCAGCTTGGTGAGCGGCACCCAAGCCGTAGCCTGTCTAAGCCCTACTCGCTCATGAGATGTGCCTCAAAGATCCGCATCAGAGCACGCGGTGCCTCATCCCTACCATTTCCTTGGATATTTAGGTATCCTGCATGCCTGTCTCCTTCCATCCCAGCAAGGTATTATCTCAATTTTAGTCGCTCGACAGTCCGTCTTATTCCGCCCCGGGGTAAGGCGGTTTGTCTCTGAAAGAATGGATAGAAACTGAAATCTTGACCTGTGCACCCGAGTGGCTCCATTTGGTAGCGCAAACCGCAAACCTAAACTCACCGGAAACGAGCGTATATTATCATGCTTTTGACAAAAGTAGTCGGTGTACTGTACAATCACGGCAGGTTGGAACAATGGAGTTTTCTGGATACTATTTTGCGAATCGTGTCTCTGCTACCTTCGTTTTCCATTTCCATCCGGTTCCTTGTCATCCATATCCTTTTGATCGTCGATACAGAAGCCCGGAACTTCCCCCCTTCCAAGAAGAACTCTGCAAAAACAAAAGAAAAAGAAAGAAAAAGAAAGAAAAAGAAAGAAAAAGAAAGAAAAAAACGTGGCCATTACCATCCTGAAACCAAGTGCGTCGGTCACTCCAGATAGAGGAGCGTCTGTCCCCAAACACGTTCAACCCAAACCGCGATTCCAATGAGAATTGCCACTTCTTCTTCTTCAACCTAACTGTTACCAAGCAGCCCATCAGCCTGCTCGTCATTAATGACCAACGAGTGGCCCGTCGCAAAAACTGGAAAGCGCAAGTCGTAAATTTCGTGAACCTCATGATTATACATGCTTTCAAGCCCCAAAGGTTGCGCTCCGCCGTGAAGGTCGGAATCATTCCGTGGAGGTCGCCAAGCTGGAATAAAGAGAGAATTGAGAGAGCAATTGTGAGAACGCTATCATCATTTCATGCAGATGACGTGGGCGCTTGTGATGGAAGCGACTGAGATAGTCGCGCCTGTGTCGTTGCGAACGGTGATGACAGGGGTGACGACCAACTGAACACGCCAGTGCTCAGCCTGCAGGATGTGAGGGTCAATGTTGGGTGCTACGCCGACCATGGTCTGAGTGCTGAAGCGAGAGCCAGCATCGGGAAAGCGAAACTCGAAGGTGCAGCGTGACGTGAACATCTTCGCAGAGATGGACCAGGCCTTTTCGATCATGTCACGAAGAGCATCATCGGCATCATCCAAGTTGGGGCCACCCTCGGACTCAGGCAGTATGAGAGGAGCGAGCATCTCGCGCAATTCGGCTTGGAAGTACTCGATACGGTGGCTGCGATAGGCGTCGTAGCGCTCATGGTTGATGCATGAGTTGACGATCGCCGCGACACGGTCAATGCAAACCTGGAGGGCACCGCCTTGGCCGGCTGTGACTTCTAAGTCAGCGTCAATATCAAGTAGCAGGCAAGGCTGAAAACTTACCAGGGAGGTTGTTCATCTCATAGCGTATCTCACCAATCTGGCGATCAGCGTCAACAGAGAAGCCCTGCCAAGCCTCAAAGACGAAGATGCGATGAACAAGCAAGTCGATAATGGCGCGAGAGATGAGACAAGCGCGGGTCATGCTGTCGTTCATGTGCTGTCGAATGTAGGACCAGGCTTGGTGTTCGCTAAAAGGAGAGTACAGCGTAGTCATGTAGCGCGCAATCTGAACTTCCGAGAGATGCAACATGACACTTGGGTCGATTGAGGAGGCAAATCGGAGCACCTAGCTCCGGGCCAGACCCCAAACCCCTTCGAAGGCACGAGCATAGCGCTCGGTATCGCCGCTGTCGTCTTGGCCGAAAGCTGGTACAGAAGTCAAGGTCCCGGTAACACTCGCGGGCTTACCGACTGATCTGCCGTTGCTGCCATGGCCGAGGGGGCCAGGGGTGAAGCCTCCGTGATTGTACTCAGCCGCGTGGTAGTTCTGACCCGAACATCTGGAGGGGTGATTCTGCTGAGATTGGGAACCACGGTGGGTGGGAGCACTATTGTAATACTGCTGAGTGGAGCCGAAACCAGGGGTTCTCGGGATCAAAGGAGAAGCCCCCGTGAAGCCAGACGAAGGGCCCTCGAGGTTGCCAAATCCAGTGCGGCTAATGGAGCGAGGCGTTGGGCTCTCAAAAGGGTCAGCCCTGGTGTTGAGGCCACGACGAGAGCCAGCACTTGATCCAGGTCCATAGCTGTAGCTATAGGAGCTTTCGGCATTGTCAAAACCGCCATTGCTGCTGCTATTTCCGGGATGAAACTCTGGAGCATTGGGACGGAAAGAAGAGTGTTGCGGGTTGAATCCTCGATGACCCATGGCAGTACCAGGGCGAGCTTGCATGGCAAACTGAGCACCATAACTACCAGAGAGGCCGAACTCGTTTGGCTGCTTGTAACCACCATTGAAAGAGCTGCGAGCATCTCCAGATCGCGAATAGGAGCGAGCTGGCGGCATCTGTTGCTGCACAGAAGCACCACTTGAAGCACGAGTCCAACCGGCGGAAGAAGTGGTTCTGTTGTCGGTAGGGCGACGAGAGTGACTGAACATGCCGGGATAACAAGTGGGTGGCCCGTGGCGAGAAGATGTATCGGGCATTCCGGAGATTTGAGATGGCTGCTGCTGGTAGTTGAATGGCTGCAGCGCATTGTCCATAGAAGGCATTGTCTCACTGTGCTCTGACTTGATGGTAGCGCGTGTCGGAACCAGCTGCTTCTGCACATTCTGAGAGCGAGGAATCTCATTCTCCTGCTGCTCCAAGGCAGCGATACTGGAAGCGCTCAGGGCGGTGATAACCTTGCCAGGTGAGCCTTCCTCGTTTCGCGTAACCAGCCACTGGGAAGTAGGACGAGATAAGAACTCCTTGACAGTCTAAGATTCACTTGTTAGTTGGTTTACAAATTGGACAGTTCTGAATGGCACATACCTCCACCAACTCCCGCATGATTTCCTGAGTGGTTTCTTCCTCGTTGTTCTCATGATCAAGTCTGGCTTGATACTCGCGCAACTTGTTCTTGTACTTCTCAGTCTCCACGTGATAGCAAGCGAGCCGATTCTCAACCTCATCATGCTTGCTCTGGAGCTCGGCATATTCACGCTTGAGGTTGTCGCGTTCCTCAAGCATGATACTTGCCTCTAGCTTCGTGGAGCAAAGGACCTTCTCGTTGTACTCAATATCGAGACGATAGTCAGCGACCTCGTTGATCGCTTGGCGAAGCATGTTGTTGACATCTTGTGCATACTTCTGAAGACCATCGCAAAGATCGTTGGCGATTTTGCTGGGGATTCCGGGAGTGCGGCGAATGGCCTGCTGCGTGGTCATGATACCCGCCTGAACCTGACGGGCAGGAATCCAGGCCGGCTGTTCATCTCAAAAATCAGTCATATTTTCAAACAAGAACGACGTTCGGGGTACTCGAGACGTAAAAGCAAAACAGTGAGGGACTTGGAATCCGAAGGGGGTGAAGAGGGGAGGGTGGGTAAATCAGGAAGAGGTAGCAACCAGAAGGGGAAGTCGACATACGTGGTTTCGGGCGAGCTCAGAACGGCGATTGTCTCGGATAGGACCGGCCAAAGGGCCGTCGATCTGGCAGTGGGCAGCCATCTCTGCGACAACTGGCTTGGAGTGGGCGAGATTGTTTGCTGCAAGTTTTCCCTTCTCCTCGGAAATGGTAGGAAGAGCTCGTTGGGCACGACGAACTTCGCTGTAAGGAGCGTTGGGAGTATTGCCAGGTGCCTTGACAGCAGGAGGGGTTGGTCCAAAGCCGCTTTGGGGCGTCGCAAAGGCCGGCCGATATCCAGCGGAGGAAGGCTCGGCAGTTGGACGACCGGTAGGAGTTGCCAAAATTGTGCCGTCGGAGCGAATAGACAACTTACCCGCACAAAAGCTGGTTGAATTCTGCGAGCGAGAAGGACCGCCGCGTTTGGCACTTCCTTGGCTGGGAGTAGTATGGAATTCTGGTGGAGCAGGAAGCTGATAGTTTTGATGGTAGTCCTGTTGATAGAGCTGGCCAACCCTGCCTTGGCAAAGTTCGGGGCCAAAAACGTCAGGAGGCGACTTCTCGTACACAATAGTACTGGCCGATGAGCTTGGGGTTGAGTGATGGTGCTGCTGGCGCGACGAAGAATTATCAGGAGGTGAGTGGTCGGAAAGGCGCACACCTCCTCGATCCTCTCCGGAGCTGTTGCTGTTATGTCTCAAGTCAGCCATTTTGGTTTCCTTCCTTTGTGGCCGTCGCAACGTGGGCGCCGTGAGGATAGGACGGATGATCCTATAGCACGGTATAACCACTAGGGAAAGAACGATAATGACGATGTGCGGAAAGAAGGTAATCAAAGGGTGTCTTGGTGGGAAAAGGGACGCAGCTGGGAAAAAACCTCACGTGTGGGAGGTGAGAGATTGTTGATTTTTGGAGTTCTGGATGGAGGGAGATAGCGAGGGGGAAGTAGAGAAAGAAAGGCGCGCCTTCCAGACAAAACAACTGACGCTAGCCTTTTCGGGAGTTGTGTCAAATTCACTTACCAGACGTGAAAGAAAAAGAAAAAAAGTAGAAAGGGGGTGTGAAGAGACAGATGAAGCTTCTGGTAGCTCGCCTGCCTTAGCCAAACTGATGTGAAGTAAGTTTAGCCAAGGCGAGAGGACAAGAATGTTATGCTCACCTCACACCTTCCTGTCTGCTTATATCCAACCCTAATGAACGGATAAAAGCAAGAGGAATAGGAGTGCTCCAGCTTTTCTTTTTAAGCCCTTTGGCAAAAACAGATAGGTTCCTTCCATACACTATATGAAAGCAAAGAATTCAGAGGGCAAGAGAGCAGCATGCCTCATGGCCCTCTACCAGAAGGATCTGGAGGAATGAAAAGGAGGCCAGGGAAGACTGAGGCTTTTGACACAGAAAAGAAAACATACATACAAGTTGAGCTCGCGTGCCGAGTCCAGCACACAAGACCTTCGTTTCGGGTGGTTAGGTTTTGTTGGTCGAATGTCCCAAATGCTATTGTTGAATCTTGCTAGGGTAGCCGAGGTCCAAGGAGGCTGATCGAAATCGCCCTGAAGCCAGTACCAGGACTATGCCAGGCGTCTTGGGGGCAATCGTGGAAAGCACAATCGAACTAGGGGGCAGGGGCGAGACTTATCGATCAAATTGCTCTCCAAACCCTTTCAAAGGTACGTATGCGAAGTTTGAGATTTTCTATTGCTTGCAAAGTGGCCAGCAAAATGCGCAAACCTACGGCGGCAGGCAGGGTAAACCTGTACTGTTCTTCCAGGAGTGCACTGCCGACGTTTCCCAACAGGCCACGCTTTCCGGATGGAAACTTTTGATTGTATTTGCTGGCGCTGAAGACTTGCTGCGAGAGCGTGGATCCTCGTCTCAGGGCACAGAAGGCAATAACAGGAGAGACTTATATTGGGGGGTAAGGTAGGGAGGAGGGAAGGGAACAATGAGGTGGGTGATGGAGGACGTCAACAACCATTCAAACAGGCAGGAGCTCTGACTACATGAGATCTTTCTTGTGCCCAACTTGCGGAACAAACGTGTAGGAATGAATATCAGCGTGCTATTAATCACTCTGTACTAGGTGTACAGGTCTGGACATGAAATTACAAGTACTTTTTCCATGGAGTGCTGCAGCAAACACAAACACTGTCTGTTCTTTAGAAGCTGGCAGATCGGCAGTCCTTCAGAAAGCGATGCTCAGAATAAGCAAGTGAAGCAAGCAATTTAATAAAGAGACATACAAAAACATGTAGCAATAGTGAAGATAGTGGGTGCTCATACTAAACAACGCACAGAAAGAAGAGATGAAGCACATTTTGATAGAAAACCAAATCTGACTGTGAAACATACAAAGGAAGGTTCATCAAGGGCCGCAATCTCACCCACGAGGGTCGAGGCGGAGAATGCTCAGCAGGTCGCAGGGACCAGTTCTATCTGCAACTTTGTCAAGAGATATGTGTCACATTTCCTATTAATTCGTGTTCTAATACGTGAAACTTGACTTGAACTATGCCTCCCTAAACCTTACCCGGACGCCAACACAATAGCCTGATACCTGCTCCACGTGTAGTGGAGGGCGATGGAGGGTAAAAGAAAGAAAGAAAAAAACCTAAGGTACAGAATCAGCCATAAGTAGTTGGCGATCGAATGTGTAATGTAACGTGTTTCTGCTGGAGAATCAGTGTGGTGTCGATCTTTTCTCCTGTGGTGATGATGGGTAGACCTTTGCTCTCTGGCCAGACCGCCGGCGACTTGGCCACCACTCGTTTGGTGGCCTTCGATGGGGACCAGAGCGGGCTTGTCTGCCTCGGGGATCTATTTGCAGCCGCATAGCGTCGCCTTAATAGTATGGTCAGAAAGAGAAATTGAGGATCATGTGTACCAATACTCACAGTGAGGAATCCTAGACAATATTTCTTCGAGGCCATGAATTAGCTTTCAGATCGCTCGTGTGCGAGAGAACAAACTGCTGTAGACGGCATCTACAACAGGTGACGCGTCGATCATCCTGCCTCCGAAGTAGCGACCGTTGAGACCCCTAATGGCGTTCTCGCCGCCCTGGACCTTATCGAATTTGAGGTAGATGTCACCCTTGGAGTTAGGGTCGACTGCGATGTGTACAACACGACCATATTTCTTTTCGGCCTCTTGTCGCACATCGTCCTCCAGCTCTTTGGCCCAGTCGTCACCATCCTCCCTGTCATCGAGTCAGCATCAGTTATCCTGGATTGACGGTGGTGGAACGTACTCTTCGGGGTCAAACATATTGTGCAGCACAACGCATCGGCTAGCCATACTAACGTTGACCGGTAAGGGCTTAATCTCGGTCTTGGGCTTCAGAACCTGTCGCTCATCTGCTCCGTTCGAAGCTTCATCAGTCCTGGCAAGTTTTCTCATCAGGGCATCACGGCTGTAGTTGTTAAAATTGACTCCGGCAACATCGGTGTCATCCAGGGCGCTGGCACCACCAGACTTTTCGCTGTCTCGTCCACCGGCACGGTCGAATGCTGATGTCTGCGGGCCACGTCCGCCAGCACCCGAGAATGCAGAGCCTTGGTACGCTTGGTTCTGGCCAGGGAATCTCTGCAACATGTTGGCAGTGCTCTCAGGGGTGAACTTATCGTTTCCGAGGCCAACACGGATCGGACGACCAGCAAGGTCGAACCCGTTCATTTTCTCGAGTGCCTCTCTGGCTTGGCTAGCTTCCCGGTACCTGAAGAAATGGTTAGCATGGGAATTTGGGGGCAAGGATACGAAAAGCTTACTGCACGAAACCATAGCCTCGGCTGCGTCCATTGTCATCCTTTTGGAGCTGGACAAATTCAAGTTCACCAAAGGGTTCAAAAACAGCCTGCAAATCCTGTTCGGTGACGTTGAAGTGAATGTTGCCAACGTAGAGTCGATGGAAGGGGATCGAATTTGGGTGTGCGCCGGTAGCGGTCTCGGAGTTGCGGACTTGGCGGTTCTTCTCGGCCTCTGTGAGCTGAACTATGATAGGGATACCTAGCAGTTTTTGCCCAGTAAGTTGAAGAGCTTGAGTGACAGATTCCTCGTTCTTGAATTCAACGTAACCAACTCTGGATGAATCATTAGTATCTGGGTCTCCAGTGCAAAGTGAAAACCTACCCCTTGGATCTTTGGCTGATGCGGTCCTTGACAATCTGGGCCTCGTTGACAGGGCCGACCTTTTCGAAAAATGCCTTCAGGTCGCGAGTGCGAAGACGGGCGGCGAGCTGCTGGACAAAGACAGTGCGGCGGTCCCGTTCATCTTCAGTAAGTTGTGGTGTTGCCTCACGCTTGGAATTCTCATTACGATCGTCGTCCCTTGCCCGGCGATGGTCCCCAGAGTAGCGATCAGAGCGATCCCGACGGTCGCGGTAGTCACGGTCGTCACGCGACGAGCGGTAAGAGCGGTGGGGTGAGCGAGAACGAGAACGAGAGTGCCTGCGTCCGCCTCTGTAATAGTCACCATCTCCTCTGTGACGACGTGAGTGACGGCGGTCATCATCGCGGCTTCTGCTTCTCCGCCTACTCTTGTGGCTGCCAGCGTCGCTCCGAGGGGTGGATGCCTTGTGTTCTTCCGGTGTGCCACGGCGGCTTCGAGTCGAACTGCGTTCGCGGCGGTCGCGGTCTCGGCGTCGACGATCGTAGTCGCGGTCGCGGCTTCCATCGCGGCCACGGTCGCGCTCTCGGCGCTCTGGGCGATCTCCATTAGGACGATCTTCCACCTCGGTGGTCTTTGGCTTGCTTTCGGTCGAGCTTTTCGCCGTGGCGTCAAGCAAAGCTTCTACGTCTAGACCGGACATGTTGACTGGAACTGTGATCAGAGAAAAAGGCGACTATGTTTCCTGTTTCGTCCTGTTTCGTCCTGTTTCGATGGGGAAGCTGTTCTCTACGGGCCCAGGAGCAGAGTTTTGTCGCAGTGATGATGGAGGGGGAAGGAGACAACGAGATTCCGTGGGATGGGGGAGGCTGGCTTCGTGTCAGAAGTGACTAGCGCAGCGGATTCACCAGAAAACCTTTGGGCGGGCAGGCAAGGCGTGGCTCATGAGTCGGGTTTAGGGACTACGGCACTTTTGGCCAAGCATTAAGGCACCTGAGGCACCTGGTAGTTCCCCAGGTGCCTACCTTAGGTACCTACCTACCTATTCGTACTTACCCTGCCAAGCACTGGCTACGGTCATTCGGGTGCCTTACCTAAGGTAAGCGACCAGGCCTAAACAATCGACCAGAGTCCAGACCGAGCCGCACGGTCTGAGTGGTCAACCCTGTGCATAGGATCTCATAAGTCACGTGACTATACAGAGTAATCATCCTCCCATGCTTCCGAAGTGTTTGTGTTGTCGAACTAACTTCCAACTGGAGGCCCGACCAGACCCCCTTTACAACTGCCCGTGAACTAGTCCGCTTTAACGGTTCGCCGTGAGCTGCGATCATGGCGTCGCGAAGGTTGCCCCGCTGGTTGGGGCACTGGACTTTCGCTTAGAGGTAGATATCAAGCCTGTCAACGCAGCGGTAGTGGCCAAGGACATGGTTTGAAAGTTGTAGAACGTGCTTTTCTAATTAAGGCATGGCCTACTGAATTGTGGTATCATTCAAAAATACTCTGTACTGAACCAGTCGCCATGACAAGATGACGACTCTTCCCATGGCGGTATCATAACTGCCCGGGGCGGTATAATACGCGACAACCACCTTGAAACCGTCTCCT